TCATGATGCCAGGGAGGGTCCAGCCAAGCTGCAGAGGTCTGAGCCAGCAGGGTGTGGGGGCAGCATCATGGGGGCCTCCCTGCCCTGTTCCCCACAAGCCACAGCCTCCGGCTCCCAGCTCATCCACCAGCTCCCAGATCCCTGCAGTGGGGCACAGGGTGGGCAGGCTGCTCGTACCTTCCCTGGATGAAGACCCGGACAGATCCCAGTGGGACATGATGGTCGCTGTCTTGGCAAGCTCGGGTATTGCTGCTGGTCCCCTTGTGCTGGTTCAGACTTGCCTCTGATCAGCCCCTGGGCAGGGGGTCTGCGGGGACTGGATGTGGTGCTGGCTGGACCCCTCCAGGGCCTGCAGCTGGCTACAGAAGCTGGTGGGGCCTTGGCTGCATGAGGGCAACAGGCCACGGGCTCAGACCAACCTTTGCCCTCGCAGTGCTCTGGGTGAGGAGTGTGGGAGCCATGGCAGCCCCTTCCCTGCAGCTGCTTGAGATGGGATATCCTAGGTGGGGGGAGTGGGGTAGCTGCCCCCCTTTCCTTTGCAGTTCCCAACCCCGGTGCTCACTGCACTGAGCCAGGAGGTGCCCCAGGCTGGCGGCAGAGACCGTTTCCCCTTCAGCCCCATGGTGCCTCGGCTTCTCCGGGGTCTGCTCTGGCATGAGGGCTCTCCCCACGTCCCAGTACTGCAGGAGCCCAAGGGGGGAGGCCAGGACAGCCAGGTTGAGGGGCTGCGCCCAACAGGGGGGCACCTGGAACAGAGGAGGAAAATCCCCCCAGCAGCGCCCAGAGGCAGCGATTGCCCTGTTCTCTCTGCAGCTGCGAGTGAGCCTGATTGGGAGCTCGGGAGTGGAGGCAGAGGTATCTGCGAGCCCTCGGGGCTATCCCAGGTGGGGTGGGGAGCCCAGCTGCACCCACTCCAAGCGCCCCATGCAGCGCTGAGACCCCGGCTCAAACACAGCATGGCCCCTGCCTCCCAGCCCCGGCTCTGAGACGCATTGCCCAGCGAGGAGTATAGTATATGGCCTCCCACCCATTGTCCCCCGCCAGAGCTGCCTCCTCAGTCCCTGTAGAGCCCAGGGCTGGTGGGATGCCCAGGGCCTTGCTAGGGGCGCTTGGCTGCAGATGAGGAAGGTGGAGCAGGGAAGCGGCCTGCAGTAACACTGGCAGAAGCAATACATGTAGCGTCTGTCTGCTCCTGTCTTGCAGCTGGTGGTCGCCAGAATCGTGGTGCTGGGACCTGGCTCGGGGAAGGCTGCTGGAGCTGGGGTTGTCTTGGTCCTGGCTCTCGAGGGGCCTCAGTGGGCTTCTTACCCAGACAGGGGCAGGGGGGCCTGGCTGGCTCTGACCTCCCCCCGGCCTGGCTGGCTGGGACCCCGGTCTCCAGGCCCCTGGGCCTGGTCTCTTCTATGAGACGAGCCCTGTGCTACAGCTGTCTATGAGTAATGAGACAGGGCCTCTGGCCTGGGACTTACCCGGGGCTGCCGGCAGTGGTGGACACATTGGCCTTGCCCTGGGCATGGAGCAGCCAGGGCCGGTCACTGCCCTGGAGGAGGTGTGCTGGGGCAGGCTGGGTCAAGGCACCTGCTCCAAGCCCCGCTCTTGGCTTAGGAAGGGACTTCTCCTTGCATGTGTCCAGTCTAGAGCTGATCCGGGGGCTGCTTCTGCCCCCACGTCTTCAGTCCAGGTCCTGCCAGCACTGAGCGTCGCAGGGAAGAACTGCTCCGGCAGCCCCATAGGCTCCAGGTGCAGGTATCCGCTGGCTTTGGCTGAGCTTGGATCTGGACCTGACCCCACTGGGCCAGGAGGAGGGAGACAATCCCACTGAGGACACGTGGGTGCCAGTTCCTATCCCCCCCCAAAATGTTTTCAGGGGGAGTCAGGAGCCATCTCATCCCACCCAGTTCATTTCTTGGCCAGCACCAGCTTGCATGCTGCCCGGTTCTGGAGGTCCTAGACTCCTGGAGGGTGGAAGAGCCCTCCAGGGCCATCGGGCCCCACTCGTGACCGTTGCTCAGCCAGCTGCTGTCCCGTCCCCCTGGCTGCAGAGGGTCCTGGCCTGAAGCGAAGCGATGTCCAGGTCTGGGTGCTTTCTCACTCAGGTGCCCTCCAGGCTGAGCTGTGCGGACTGTCCCCGTGCAAGACCCTGCCACCCTCAAGCAAACACCCCCCTGTTCTCAGGCCACTTGAAGGACAGGATGGTGCTGGGCCAGGGTCCGACGCGACCTCCAACAAGTGTCTAGCGACATCTGTTCAAAGTCACCGGGCTCAGGGGCTGTGGGGGTTGCCCCCCTTTCAGCAGAGCAGTGCCTCTGTCCTGGCCCGGGGTGCCCCCCCCCCCCCGGCCCCTGCGGCGGTGCTCCCCCCCCCCCCCCCAGTGCTCCTGCCGGGGCTGCCAGACGCTGTGCTCTGCACAAGTGCGGCCAGTCACTGGCACAGCTGTTGCACGGCCCAGACACCTCCGCCCCTGCCTCACTAGCTTGGTGCACAAGTGTGAGCTGCCCTCCAGCCTCCAATTGGCAAAGCCGCCCATCCCCCCCAGGGTGCTATCTAATCATCAACCCCGCAAACCCAATTTGATGGCTGCTGGGACGGTTGGCAGCGACTGCCTGCTTTGGATGGTAATTAACTACTTGGATTGCAATTAGTTTTGCAATTAGATAAGTCTCTAATTGTTATCAGAGGTGGCTGGGGTGCGTGTGCACATGCTTGCGCATGCCGCCAGCCGGTCTCCCCAGGGTTGGAATTGAGCAGGGCATTTCCAGGCCTGACCCAGAGACAGGGCATCCTTGCAGCCCCGGGGTCTGTTTCACTGGCTCTGTGGCCTCCTCTTTGCCAAGCTGGGGGGTGAGATCTCACCCCGAGCCTGCATACCTGCCGGGGGGCCCCAGGAGGAGCATCTGGGTGCATCTCAGCTGTCCTGGTGCTGGTAGGTGGGTGCCCCGTGCTCTCCCAGGGAGGGGCGCGGGGTGGGCACTTTGTGCTGCCATCGGCCTAGGAGACCTAGGGGTGCTCATGGCTCCAGCTCCCAGGGGCAAAGGGATGCTGTAGCTGGAACAACACCCGGGAAGTAGCAGCTCTTTGCCAAGTGCCTTGCTCCAAAGCAGCCCCACAGCCCCCACATCCATCATGCGCATCTTCCCTCACCCCAAACACCCCCGAACAGCAACAGGCAGCGTGGCCCCAGCCCAGGAAGGCCAGTGCCGGGCAAGCAGAAGTCTTGGAAGAAGCCCTGCAGCTCCAGAGACGTCTCTCTCCCCACAAGCCCGGCTCAGACCCAAGCTCTGGCTCCCCCGAACCCCCTCCTCACTTCCCTCTCTCTCCAGCCCAGTGCAGCAGCCTCCCTTGCCCAGAGCTCGCTGCCTTTATAGGCACCAGCTGCTCGCCAGGCAATCAATCAGCTGCTCTCTCCCCTGGCCTCTGGGATCCTTCCCCAGCAGGCCTGGGCGCCGCTCCTCTACAAGGGGCCTGGTGAGGGGTGTGTGGAGCCGTGAGCTCTTCCCCACATCTCTGGTTACTGCAAAAGGCTCGTAGCAGAAGTGGTAGCCGGGCCCCCGTCTGCCCGGTCACAGGCTGAGCTTGGCGGCTGCTGCGGAGATGCCAGGAGCCCTCAGGAAATGAAGTCCATGCAGACGGGTGCTCCCAGCCCCGGCCCGGGGAGCCGGGTGGAGGGTCCCTGGCAGGCAGCTGCGGTCTCCGGGCCGCAGGCAGGTGGTGCTCTCGAGCTGCGTTCCCTGGGTGCTCCCAACCCTGAAGCTGGCAGCAGTCGGGCAGGGAGCCCAGAGAGCCCCTGCCTCCCTCCTGCAGCAGGGCGGCGGCGAGCGGCCTCTCCCAGGAGCATCTGCAGCCCCATGCACACCAGGCCTCTGGCAGACCCCCACCTTCAGGCCACGCACACCAGGAGGAACATCTGTGCCTGCCCCGGGGGCTGGACGGAGACACAGGGACAGCGTCCAGCTGCCTGAGCTGCAGCAGGCTGGGCGGGGGCTGCCTGGAGCTGGCCGGGGGTTTCCAAGAAGCACAGACCATTTATTCCTGTTTTCTTTCCAAACCTTTATTTATCAGCTCTATTGGCTCAGGTGTGACGGGCATCCCCGCCGGCGGTGCAAACCGACAGCTGTCAGTCATGGCCATGGACGCTCTCCCCAGCACCCAGGCGGCTCAGTCTAGCAGGGGCCAAAGGGAGCTCCCACCCGGTGCTTTCCCCCAGGAGGCCTGTCCTGGGTGCCCAGGCGTAGCAGAGAGCTCTTAGATTCATAGATTCATAGATTCATAGATGTTAGGGTCGGAAGGGACCTCAATAGATCATCGAGTCCGACCCCCTGCATAAGCAGGAAAG